TTTTGTAGAATTTCGATTTTCATAAAATTCATTTACTAGTTACTGGAAAATTATTTATATAGACTACAATATATGACTAACTAATATGATCAAAGTTCACACTGTTTAAGTAGTTACAAAACTATCAAATAAGTGTGTGCCGTTTCCCTTTTTTGATTCTAAAGTTTTAAAAATATTTTTTAACATGCATGGTTTTATATATGAAGTTCCATGAAAGGAAATATTCACTGTCTATGTTTCTTTTCTGGCCATTTTATTGTTTCAACTAATAATCTCTGAAAACATTTTTCCATAGAGAGGAGGCGATTGTTAGAAATGGTGCACTCTGAGCCTCAAATATGCTAGGTAGGCCCTCGTCATGGAATATGCGTGCTGTAATAAACAGTCATGATTTTCATAAAGTTCATAAGGAACTTTAAAATGTGAGTTTTTCAAAACTTCGAGTGACTTAAAAAGGGATAGGGTACTTCATCAGAGGAAAGCCTGAGGATAGTAGAGGTTTCATCCTTCTACTGTGTATGTTTATTTGAATTACTTTTAACATTGAAAATTCCCCACCATAAGCTATGAATGTTCGAGAACAACAGCATGAACAACTAATGTTGGCTGATACATCCATCCAAAAGCAACTGTGATCCTCACCTCTCTTTAGAACATGTTCCTTTAACAAGACAAACCCCTCAGGGCAACTTTTGATTTCTTGAATGCCATGAAATAGCCATACATAATTCAGGACAAGCAGCCAAGTGTCAACATTCCTGTCCCACGAGGAATTAGAATTGTGCCATTTAGCTCTGTGTAGCATTCCTGCACTACAAATATCTGTTCGAGTCTCAGGGGGATGTGAAATGCTAATACCTTCTTTGTACAAAGAGCGAGTACTCTTGATGACTTTTAATGCCTGTTGGCAAGCCTTCATTCATCTAGTCATTCCTCCATTCAAGAAAAATCTCTGTGCCAGACAATGAGACAGCCAGTGATCCTCACCCTGCTGATAAGAATATGCAGGAACCACAGCGATGTTTCCATAATGCCTTTGGGAGTTGGTGATGTGGTCAGGACCATCAGCTGACTCTCCTCCTCTCCACCCCTGCTCTGTGCGCTCCCCCATGCACATAGCCACATGGGCTGGGACTAGAAGGAATGTTCACTCGTGCTACTAGCACTGGGTGACAGACTGATGGCTAAATGGAAAGGCGACACAGACTTAGAGCTGGTTTTATCATGTCAGTCACACACTGCTAGAGGTGAAGTTGTGGGTGCGTTTGTATGGGGGGGGGAGGTGGGTAAGAATTTTTCTATTTTCATCCCGTTTTACAGAGATTGAAGACCAGTGAGACTGGGTGGCTATCTCAACATCACATGACGTGTTAGTATTTGAGCAACCATGTTCGAATGAATATTCTAGTTTTTAGCTATTTATGTGACTTTTTTAAATTTCCCAAAAGAGGGGATCCCTGGGTGGTGCAGCGGTTTAGCGCCTGCCTTTGGCCCAGGGCGCGATCCTGAAGACCCGGGATCGAATCCCACGTCGGGCTCCCGGTGCATGGAGCCTGCTTCTCTCTCTGCCTGTGTCTCTGCCTCTCTCTCTCTCATTCTATATGACTATCATAAATAAATAAAAATTAAAAAAAAATTTAAATTTCCCAAAAGAATCAGGCTCTGTATTTTTTCATGGTGAATAAGTGAAATTTAAACATGGCCCACCTAATGCTTACTACATTTATTCTGAAACAATCTCTGGTCTCCATGTCACTACATGAGCAACCCATGATCCAAGTGTGTGTCAATGCCCTGAATCTGCCATGAAATTCCTGGCTTCTCTGCCCTTGCCCTTCCATGTCCTTAGTCTGAAAATACGTCCCCTGTCCCATTCACTACTCTGTCAAAGGGTTATGCGTTCACTTCGGTTCAGCTCAGGTAGAGCTTTTCCATTAAGCCTTGTCCCAGTAGTCCCAGCTGAGGTTAGCCCTCTACCCACCCAAGCAGTTTGCACCACGTTATAGTGTCATTTCATTCTCCCATCTGTCAAGCGTCTTTATCTCCCATTAGAAGGCAAGCCCTTTGAAGGAAGACATCGTGTCTTACTTATTTCTATACCCCCTAACAACTGACATACAGGGTCCCTCTGAACCCTGCTTTCAGCTCAGATAAATTTGAAGAGAAAAAGAGTGGTAAATAGTAAGTTTGTTCTGGGAAAGTGGCTATGTTAGTTAATTCTTGTCTCATCCATTAAATGCTGAGCTCCTTGAGGGAAGGAAGGTCTTTGCCTATAACTATCTCATTGTTTTCCACCATGTTGGCACCAATTTCTAGGCCCCATAAACTCTGACTGACTTATACCAGTACATGAAAAGGGATGTTAGGAGGCTGAGGTAGTCTATTAACTTTAGGGGGAGGAATGGAGTTCTGGAAATTTGAATTTCACTTGGCTTTTCTGTTTCTGGTCTCTTCACTTTCTTGTTGTAAGTCTAACCACATCCAGGTGTTATATTGTTAGACACTTCCTTTTGGTAAATCACCCTTCTCTTCAAGTTTTTGAAAACTTCATCCTTATAACTTGGCTTTTAGCTTGCTTTCATTTTTATTTTGAATTTTTGGAAGTGACAGAAACGTAAGTCTTAAAGTAAACTTGTTTGAAGTTTCAATGCATTTATAAATATAGAAATACTCAAAAGTTTCTGAAAATTCTTTGCAGTTCTCTATCTGGTTCCTGGAAACTCAGTCAAGTTTCTGAACAGAAGTTGATGAGATGTGAGCAGAAATAATATAGTGAGAGGCTTTTTTGGAGGTTAGGAAATAGCTAAAAATGAGACTATTTATGAGGGTAAGGGTGTAGAAATAAAGTGGAACATTAAGCTAAGTAAAGCAGCATGTGCAAGGCAGGGCCAAAAGCTGCCCTCCACCTAATTCATCCTTAGCCTGCTTTGTCCTTAAAAGAGAATTATGCTATTATCTCAATTATACTTACATGAGATGGTACATTTGTTTAGAGGAACCACTGAAGGTGAGTGTAAGAAATTTATGAAGGGGATGTATTGGATATATTGCTGAGAAAGTAGTTCAGAACAGGGAAAGACAGAGCCAAGAAAAAAAAAAAACCATGAGGATGTAGGAAAAGGAACTTAAATAGAAAACACTCTCAAGACCTTAACTCTAATGGAAAAATTAAAAAAAGTATGAGCCACTATAACATTCATAAAGGAATCTGGCTGATTGTAGTTATTTTGTTTTACCAGCACTGGGAGTCCGTTCGGTAGTAGAATATTCTATGATTTATATACACTCATGATGCAACTGAGGAAAAAAAACAAACAGTTGTAATAAATGGGTGCCATTTCTCTTGCTCACGTGTATTTGTCTCCAAAGGGACAATATAATCCAACAATTAACAGAGAATGGATACTTCCATATACATTTACATTTAAAGTAATTGAGGTTTGACCCTTTGGAGGCCAAAATGTTTTTTGAAGTGACCGTTTCTGATGAAATTCTTTGTAAAATAGATTGAACTCTTCTCGGTTTCAAAAAAAAAGGGATATATTAAGCCTAATTCAAAGTTTGTTGTTGATTCAGTCTTCTCAGTGTAGTTGTCACTCTGTATCATATAACACAATTATGCTCTTAAGCTAATTAGGCAATGATAATGGAATTGTAAGGATTATGTATAGAGTGAGATGAGTTTGGATTCCTGCAGTATCTATTTTGCTGCTAAGTGAACACTTCTTCATGTATCTTGGTTCCCAGTTACATCCTAAATATTGAGGTTCCAGGTAAATACTTTCATGGTAAGTTAAAAGAAACAGAACTTATTCAAAAATATAGTTTTAAAAATTCTTTTTTCTTGGCTGCAGATTTTTTATGCAATTGACAATTACTAACAGAAGGTTCATAGAAGGTAACAGAAAATTCATTTCCAGGAAAAAGCTCTCTCCACCAAAACAGAGGGAGACAACTTCCATTATGTTAGGCCAAAAGGAAGAACTTCCAAAAGAGGTGCATCACTGTTCCTCCTGCCCTTTCAGAAGACAAAACATTCAGGTTATGTCAGAACATCCTATCATCCAACGATTATCTTGAGTTGCATGTGTTCTACATAGAAAAAGTCATGGAAAAAATTGCAAGACAGCGCTAAAGCCTTTGAGAAACAAGTAAAGAAAATTTCTAATTCCAAGTATAATAAGGAAATAATTGTCTACAAAAGTTCCTCTCTCCCACTTTTTGGAATATATCAGAACTAGTAATAGAAAATGTGATTACTACTCAAGAAACAGTAACAGAGTAATGGTTAGTGAATTACAGAGTAATGGATTCTAGTATTAGTTTGAATGCTATTAAGCTATTAGCATATAACTTTAGGCAAATGCTTTCCTACATCTGTAATATAGGTTTCATAATAATAAAAATACATATATATTGTTGTGCAGATTAAATGAGTTCAAATACTTAGTATGGTTTAACAGCCCCTGGAATATAATAAATTATTATCATTATTTTTTAAAGATTTTATTTATTTATTCATGAGAGACACACACACACACAGAGGGAGAGGCAGAGACATAGGCAGAGGGAGAAGCAGGCTCCATGCAGGGAGCCTGATGGGACTCGATCCCAGGTCTCCAGGATCACGCCCTGGGCTGAAGGTGGCGCTAAACTGCTGAGCCACCCGGGGTTCCCTAATGTTGGAATATAATAAATTATTGACTGAAAATTGCTTTTATTTTTTGCTACTATTGGAATAGCCACAAAATAATAAAACATTTCATAGCAACAAAAACGATCAGTAATATTTTGGAAATTGACGATTTTTTTTTCAACAAATACTCATTGTGTGCCTACTATGTACCAGACACTCTGCTAGTAAGGGTTAATATACTGAAAAATGTTATCCAGGAAAATTATAAAATCGTATTTGAGAAGTCTTTGGCAGAAACTGTTGGATGGCAAATATCTGGTCTTTCTAGAGCCTATTTGATTTTAATTTTGTTTTTATCTTTCAGGGGAAAAAGCATGTAATGAACAACTGTATGTAAAGAGATATTCCGTACACACTGTCTCAGCAGGGAATTCATTTGCTCTGAATTGCCCTGTGAAATACTGTACTAACAGACCTAACGTGAGCTGGTGCAAGCTTGAAGAAAAAACCTGTCATCCTCTTGACTATAAACGTCAGAATTGGAATGAAAAGGGGAATATTTCAGTGTTTATTCTGCATTTTAATCCCCTGCTGCCTAGCGACACCGGGTCATACCGCTGTTCTGCAGATTTTCCATCTGGACATGTGGAAAGCCATTCAGTAACCATTAATGTGACAGGTGAGTTGTACAAGACTATCTCATATTTTTTTTTTGTCTATTTTAAGAAAAAGGAGCACCCAGATTCTCAAACAATTATGTTAGATACTGAAGTCATATAAATCGGGAGGCTGCCACACTCCTCAGATTGTGATCTTTGTGAGCAAGTGTGTGTGCAATTTTGGGGTGGGCGAGGTAGAAGAAAATAGAGAAAAAAATATAATAAAAGCTATTGTTCTTGCCTCTAGGGAGTATAGCATTTATTCTATAAATCCAAAAGTAGATCCCCGAAAAATAGAAAAAAATACCAAGTAAATACCAATAGTAGTAGACAGTTCTCTATTCTTTGTCCTCTTTTCTTTTTTCTTCCACTTACCAGTCCTTGACTTTTATTGATAATAAATCCTTGAAGTCATGTCTGTGGTGTTCAATTTTACATTTGTTAGTGATTCATAGTTTGCACAGAGAACAAACTGTGCACAAATAAGCCGGACTCCCTGATGAGTTTTGAGGATGTTTATAGTTTTAGCTGCCTCCCCAGTGCCTCCCAGAGGCCCTCAATAGGCTCAAACATCAGGTTGAGGTTAAGTTGAGCAAAACCAAACTGAATAAAACATGGACAGCAAACAGAGTAGAGGAAAATAAATGAACACGTTTGATTTATGAAAATCCCACATCATACCAATGAAGATGTCTGCTTTTGCCACTTCTATTCAACATTGAATTAGAAATTCTAGCCAGAAGACTTAGGCAAGAAAAAAAGAAATAAAAGGCATCCAAATTGGAAAGGAAGGAGTGAAACTATCTCTATTCACAAATGACCTGATTTTATATATAGAAAATCCTTTAAAATCCACATAGCTACTAGAGTTAATAGATTAATTCATCAAGGTTGTATGATCAGCTAAAAAATCAATGGTATTTCTAAACACTAGCAATGAACAATCTGAAAAGGAAATTAAAAAAAAACAATTCTGTTTATAGTAGCATCCAAAAGAATAAAATACTTACAAATAAATTTACCTGGGAGGCTCAAGATTTGTATACTGAACAAAACATGCCTGAAAGAAATTAAAGATGTAAATAAATGGAAAAAAATGCCATGTTCACTTTGAAAGACTTAAAATTGTTAAGATGGCAATATCTTCCAAAGTGATCTACAGGTTCAATACAATTCCCATCAAAATCCCAACAACCTTTTTTTTTTAATTTTGCATAGATGAAAAAGATGATCCTAAACTTTACATACAGTTGCAATGACCTAAATAGCAAAAAAAAAAAAAAAAAAATCTTGGAAAAGAAGAGCAAAGTTGGAGGACATGTGCTTGTTTGTTTAAAAATTTACTACTCTACTACAATAATCAAAAGAGCGTGGTACTGCCATAAGGATAGGTATACAGATCAATAGAATAGAATTAAGAGTCCAGAATAAATCCATACATCTTTAGCCAATTTACATTTTTTTCTTCCAAGATTTTATTTAAATTCAATTTAGTTACCATACAGTATAGTATTAGTTTCAGGAGTAGAATTTAGTGATTTATCACTTACATGTAATACCTAGTTCTCATCATAATAAGTGCCTTCCTTAATGCCCATCACCCATTTAACCTATGCCCCCACCTATCTCCCCTCCAGCAACCCTCATCTCAATCTCTACAGTTAAGAGTCTCTAATGGTTTGCCTCCTTCTCTACTTTTATCTATTTTTCCTCCTTTCCCCTATGTTCATCTGTTTTGTTTCTTAAATTCCACATATGAGTGAAATAATATGGTATTTGTCTTTCTCTGGCTGACTTACTTCACTTAGCATAATACCCCCTAGTTCTATCCATGTTTGTTGCAAATGCCAAGGTTTCATTCTTTTTGATGGCTGAGTAATATTCCATTATATATACTAGAATATTATATATATGAATGGAATATTCTATATACACACCCCATCTTCTTTATCCATTCATCAGTAGGTGGACATTTGGGCTCTTTCCATAATTTGGCTATTGTTGATAGCAGTGTTATAAACATTGGGGTGCATGAAACACTTTGAATCAGTATTTTTGTATTTTTTGGATAAATACCTAGTAGTGTCATTGCTGGGATGTAGAGTAGTTCTGTTTTTTATTTTTTGAGGAACCTCCATACTGTCTTTCAGAGTGGCTGCACCAGTTTGCATTCCCACCAACACAGCAAGAAAAGGTCCCCTTTCTCGGCATCCTTGCCAATATCTGTTGTTTCCTGAGTTTTTAATTTTAGCCATTCTGACAGGTGTGAGGTGATTGATCAAGATAAAAATCTTCTGCACAGCAAAGGAAACAACCAACGACACTAAAAGGCAATCTATGGAATAGGAGAAGATATTTGCAAATGACATATCCAGTGAAGGGCTAATATCCAAAATCTATAAAGAACTTATCAAACTCAAGACCTACAAAATAAATAATCCAGTTAAGAAATGGGCAGAAGACATGAATAGACATTCTCCAAAAAAGTCATGCAAATGGCTAACAGACACATGAAAAACGCTCAATATTACTCATCATCAGGGAAATACAAATTAAAACCACAATGAAATAGCCAATTGACTTTTAACAAGGCTACTGGACCCATTCAATGGGAAAAGGATAGTTTCTTCCATAAATGGTGTTGAGACAATTGGATACTCGTATACAAAAGAATGAATTTGGAACTCTACTTCATATAATATACAAAAATAAGTAAAAATGGATCAGATATTTAATAAGAACTAAAACAATAAAAGCTGTATAAAATTTTTAATGCTATGTTTCCTTAAGGAAAACGTGGAAGTAGATCTTCATGATCTTGGGTTTGTCATTTTTTTCATACAACATCAAAAGCATAGATACATAAATAAGTAAATTGTACTTCATAAAAATTTAAAAATTTAGGATGCCTGGGTGGCTCATTGGTTGAGCCTTTGGCTCAGGGCATGCTCCCAGGATCCTGCAGGATCAAGTCTCACATTGGGTGCCTTGCAGAGAGCCTGCTTCTCCCTTCAGAATGCTTTCTGGAGAAAATTGCTCTTGATAGAGCAATTCACATACTGAGGTATTGAATTTTTAAAGAAATATTACTTTTTTAACTGGCAAAATAAATGATGAAAAAAAAGCAAAACTTGCAAAACATTACTCCTAAGATATTAATTATACTATGAAATATACAGCAATTGAACACTATTAGATTATTTATATAATGTATAATAAAATTAAATGGAGGTTCCCTGGGTGGCTAAGCTGGTTGAGCGTCTGCCTTTGGCCCAGGTCATGATATCAGAGTTCTGGGATCAAGTCCCAAATCAAGCTTCCTGCTCAGTAGGGAGCCTGCTTCTCCCATTCTCTCTGGTGCTCCCCGTGCTTATGGTATCTCGGTTGCTATCTCTGTCTCTTTCTCTCAAATAAATGGATAAAAATCCTTAGTTGTAAAAAATAATTAATTAATTATTAAATTAAATGCAGTGGCATTGAGTTCACATTCCTTGGTAAAACAGCCTTCTTGTGTAATTCTGTTTTCCTTCATGGGAACCAATCCCCTTCTGTACAAGAGGGAGGAATTTAGCCAGTGTCAGGGGCAAGCCAATAATGGCTTCTGACATGGAACTGTCTCAGGGGTATTACTGTGTCTCCTCTGTCCCATAGTGGGGTCATTCTAGTCACTACAGATAGTGGCACAGTTTGTAAAATACATGAAGGTGCCTGTTCTAGGAATCAAGTTGGGGCTGAAATTAGGATCAACAATCTGTCCCTCTTGGGGAGATGGGGGCCAAAGGGAAGAGAGGCAGCTTCTCCCTGGAACTCGGTTCCTTGGCGGGGATACACTTGTTAGGATCACGCTGGAGATGAGAGAGAAAGAGGGAACAGTGAGACATGAAGGGCCTTTGAAGTTTCCCTTTGGAGATTTCTATTCTCTTGACTTTGTACTCTCCTAAATTTCCTACCACTTTGTGAATGAATGCTCCTGACCTGAGGGGATTCCCAAGGACTTCGCTTTGGCCTTCGAATCTTACCTGTCAGCAACCTGCAGTCTGGGATTGCCTCTTTCCTACAGCTTCATGAGTGTCTCAACCCTTCATTATCTTCCTTCCAAATATTCCAATCAGCCATATGGACTCTGTGTCTTTAGTGTTTTCTCTTTTGGTTCAGCTCAGCCAAATATCTTCCTAATATACTTAATTTGCCTAATAAATGGCTTCCATGATGCCACTCCTCTATTGAGTCTTTGGCAGAGCATCCTCAGGGCTTCTAATGTTGGGCTCACACTTAATGAGCATTCAAGGCCTTCCACAGTCCATTGCCACCTGCCTTTCTGGAGTGTTTCTGGACTCCACTTCGAGCCTTTGCTCCAACCCAATAGCTCTCCCTGCCATCACGTCTTTGCCATGTTCCTTCCTATGCTGCTATCACCACTCATCTGCCTCCACCTCCCGCAATTCTACTTTTCTGTCGAGCCCAGCTCATTTCCCAAGTTCTTAATGAAGCCTTCTAGAGTTCATCTTAGGAGAAGTGATCTTTCTTTTCTGGCAAATTTCATGCTATTTAAGGTCTGTGCCTTTCATTTATCAGACATTTTCTTGTACTATAGTAATGTATGGAAATGTGTTTTTTTTTTTTTTTTTTGGAAATGTTCTTTATACCATGAAGAATTATAGTGTCCTGGGAGGCAGAAACTGTGTTTTTTTTTTAATTTTATTTAAATTCAATTACTTGGGGCACCTGGGTGGCTCAGTCAGTTAAATGTCTGCCTTCAGCTCAGGTCATGATCTCAGAGTCCTGGGATTGAGCCCCGTGTTGTGTCCCTGCTCAGTGGGGAGCCTGCTTCTTCTTCCTCCACTGCTCCCCTTGCTTGTGCTTCCTCTCTTTTTCTCTCTGTGAAATAAATAAATAAAATCTTTAAAAAAATAAGTAAACAAATATATTCAATTACTTAACATATAATGTATCATTAGCTTCAGAGGGAGAGGTCAGTGATTCGTCAGTCTTATATAACACACAGTGCTCATCCCATCGCGTGCCTTCCTTTATGTCCACCACCCAATTACCCCATCCCCCCAACCTGCTCCCCTCCAGCAACCTTCAGTTTGTTCCCTATGATTAAGAGCTTGTCAAGGATGATGCTTTTCATAAAAACAATGTGGAGGTATGATTTAAACAAATTTTCATTTTCTCCTCTTGAAATATCTTTCTTAGGGGCTATTGGAAATTTTCCTGCAACATGAACTCTCCTTTTCTTTTTATATTCAAGTTAAGAACTGGTCCATGTTTAAAAAAAGAAAAGAAGAGAATAAGTTAAGAACAGGGCTTTGGCAGAGTCGGGACTTGATGCTACTGGGAAAGCAATATTCTCTCAGAATGAAGAAAAATGCTTTGCAAAGCAAAGCTCCAGGAAAAAAGTTGACAGAGCTGGGAAGCAGTCCTGGGAATGCACATTGGCCTGCAACTCCATCCTCTCCAATATGCCCTTGGTCAGTCCCTGATTAGGAACTTCACAGGGGCAGATGGTCATCCTCCCAGCAGAAAAGTGGGGATGGTCTGAGTGGGCAGGAAGTGGGAGGCACAATCTGTTTCAGAATGATACTCAGCATGTCATCAGACACGTCCTTTCCTTGTGGCCTTCTATGCCCCATTAAGCACTTGTTGAATGAACATCTTGTTTTTTTTTTTTTTTCAAGTGCCAGAATGTGTCATAGAGGCTGTATCCTATCCTTATACTTAAATAATTAGGAAGCAGGAATCAAAGCAGACAGACAAAGATTGTGTTGTATTTAGTCTTTCATCAGGCTTCAAAATAAACCCAGAGATTTACTTTGTGTCCATAAAGTGCCACCCAGGGATCCCAAGTATTATTTTCATAACAATTTCAATTCTTTATCTGGATTTTCTATTTCAGAATGGACTCGAAATAATTCAGAACACCCTCTACTAAGTAAGTAGCGAAATAGTCCAACAAAATTAAGAACACTAGATTATTTGGTGGTCAGAGAAATAATAGAAGTTGCGATTTCGTAATCGAGTGTATTTGTTTGCATTAGGTTATCTATGTGGGAACCTTCCTCCTTATTTCTATCTATACCCTTCCCCCAGACAGCTGTGTTGGTCATCTTGGTAATGAATTGGCTGCTGTCCAAATCCAAGCAGCAGCTGCAGCATGAACAATACAGCATTTGTTAACACTCTGAATTATCTAACCACTGTTTTCCTACCTTCAGTAGCTCCTGACCACCTTTACCTCAAACCAAACACATGCGGAAGTAAATAGAAAATGATGTTAATATAACTAGAAATAAAAATTTCCCGTGTAAAAAGTCAACATATATACAAAATTAATGATGTGTAATGTATTATATTTTTCTATTCTGCTGTGATTCATGTTTCTAATTTTTTTGTGATCTATTAAGTTGTTTCATGACTCATCAATGAATTGCAACCTACCACGGACAAACAGAACCTTAATGGAGGTTAACATTGATCATAGCAATGAGCACCAGCTGTATGTCCAGCAAGGCACATTTGGCAAAAACAAAGATATCTTGGGATAAGAAAAGTACTTAGTATTTGGAGATCCCAAAGAGTTATGAGACCACAAAAAGCCATTGTGTGAAGGCAACTAGAATTTAGTATCAGAAACATGTTGGCTTGAGTCCCAATTGCAACTCACTAACTCTCTGACCTTGGGCGATCTTGGAACAATAATACTTTTATCAAGGCATGAAACTGGATAAAAATAAAGTCTTCCTTACTTTCCTTTAGTGGTGAATATGACAGTTAAATAAGACAATGTCAATGAAAGAGCTTGTGAAGTGCTTTCTGAGAGAGTTTATGGGTATTTTTAGAGGGGATTAACCCTCGTAGAATAAAAAATTCTTACAAAAGATGAATTATAACCCAGAGCCACCCACATATATATGCTCATCAATAAGGCAAGATGTGAGTGATGACAGTGAGGCCCAGGGTTCTTGGGGAAAGCTTCCAGAAGAGAAAGAGAAGCTGGAAATATCTCCTTAATTTAAGTTGTGATGATGCAGAAGGGATTACTGATCCTATTATATTTCCAATTTCTTAACTGTCTTTAGCATTGACTTACATTTCAGATACAACCAGTGCCTCAGGACCACCTTCCACAGAAGTGATGGAGAACAAACATTGGATGCTTTATAGTTTGCTTCCTTTGGGGGCATTGCCTCTTCTCATTACCTGTTTCTACCTATTCTGCTGCCTTAGAAGGCACCAAGGTGGGTTTTATTTTCTACCTGCTGCTATGTGCCACACATTTGGGGTTCAGTTATTAGGGTTGGTTAATTTTTAGTTGGCTCCTATTGTTTTCTTTCCTGATATCCTGTGAGAAACCATGGATAATATCCTCGGGGACAACTCATCGTTCTACCAAAAAGACAGATGGGTTAATTCAGGTCCCTCCCAGTCACGGTAAAGCATTGTCATCACAGCACAGTGCTCCAGGCAAGGGTTGTGATTAGGAGGGCAGATGGCTAGGACTTACCCATTCTACTTAGGTGAATCTTTTTTTTTTTTTTTTTTACTTAGGTGAATCTTAAATTTATGAAACAAGAAACTATTCTAAACTTTAAGGGTATTGAAAGAGACCTAATCTCTTAGGTCAATTTGTCTGATTTGAGTTAGTCTCATCCCCTTTTTCATAGCCACACCACATCATGCCATCATGCCTCGTCTCAATGAAGACCAAACATCCCCAAAGGACACCGCCACTAGCATGCAAACGGGTGGACATGAGTGGGGAAGCATCCCACCTATGCTCTAGACACTGAACTCCAACCTAGCAGTCTGATTCTAGAACCGATATTCTTACCACAACCTTAACTTACAGGCAATTGGGGAAGAATTTTGTGTTGTTCTTTACTCTTCTTGGTTTCTTATTTTTTGTTTTTGAATTCCAGCAGAACAAAAGAAGCCTTCTGATACAGCAGGAAGGGAAATTAATGTGGTATGTTCTATATGTCTACTAAAAAAATGCAATCTAGGTTATACCATGTTAACCTTAATATATTATTTCAAATTTAATAAGGCTATGGAACACTTTACCCTGTGCCAGGAGCTGTCCAAATGCTCTCTATATATTGACTTAACTTTATAAAATGTGTTTATTTTACATTTACCTCCATCATGGCCACCTTTAAACAGTTCATGTTTAAAATGTTTCAACATCTTAGCTGGTGTAATCAGAGGAAGGCTGAACACGGCCCTGTTGAATTTTCTTTTTAGCGAAGCTTGGATTGTTAAAATTATTTGGATTGTGAAGATTCTTCAGGATTAACAAATCTCATAATAAGTGGTCTTTGGGAAGAACATGAGTGGCAGTGTAGAACTGAAGGAGAAAAGTCAGAGACTGGATATACAACTTTGCCTCTCTTCTTGAGCTGTTAAGTAACTTCAGACTGCTCGTATATTATTTTTTTTTTTTTGCTCGTATATTATTAAAAAAATACCTTAAAGTCTTTCTGGGAGAGAGTTGAGAGTTAATGAAAGAATGAACTGTATATTATCTCATAAAGTGATGTGTGATTTCTTCATAGATCACAAGCAGATAAAGAAGCATGACCATATGTATAGTTATTATGCAAAACTCTCTTGTAATGAATGTGGGCTCATCAAGGAGGAGACTTCCCAGACAAAGCAAAGGGCATTTTGGAGGCAGGATCAAGTTTTCCCACAAGTTCTTGAAATATAAACTTAGGCTTTTTCTTTTGGGTTCAATGTTGTGTAAGTATTGGAACTCAAAACAAACAAAATGAGGCAATATATTTCTGAAAACATTTTATGGAAGGTCTTCAGTTGAAAACAAATAATCATATATTAGGCACTGCAAAGGAACCTGTGTGTGTGTGTGTGTGTGTGTGTGTGTGCATGTTTCAGAGTGTAAGGGTAAAGATGAAGATGTAGTAAATTTCTCAAAAGTTCCAGAAATGTCAAAGGCAGATATAGCCAATAATTTTACATACTATATTAAATGACAGACTTCCCCATCAGGTTGCCCACTTTTAAATCAAACCAAATACATTCAACTTTGTAAACTCCTATTAAGTTTTTAGTAAGCAGCAGTAGGCAACATTTTGTTGGGTGCTACAGTTCTGTTTCTTCAAGTAGGAAAATTTTCTTTAAAAAAATTTGTTTATTCATGAAAGTCACAGAGAGAGGCAGAGACACAGGCAGAGGGAGAAGCAGGCTCCCTGCGGGGAGCCCGATGCAGGACTCAATTCCAGGATCCCAGAATCATGACCTAAGCCAAAAGCAAATGCTCAGCCACTGAGCCACCCAGGTGCCCCAAGCAGGAAAATTTTCTTAAATGTTGTTTTCTTTCTTCCTGTAGTGAGAAACAATGAATTACATTTTGTTGCAATCAGAACTGAGATCCATGAAACCATTTAAAATGATAATCTAAATAGTTTCTTGTTGAAGTTAAGCCCAGGTTGGTTAAAATGTAGTCATATTTCTTCCTGTGTAGGCTGGACAAATTATTTGTGATCTGAAGTTGAATTCAAGAGGTATTCTCTGTGTGTGTAATTATTCGGGAATCTTATTTTAAGAAGTCTGTGTCTTTCACAGGAATTCAGAGCTCTGGTCCCATTTGAGTTGGTCAGCATTTCAGAAAATAAGGTGATGTCATGTAGGTCTCTGAGACTAAAGATTTCCTAGGAAGGGACTTGCATTGGAATCAGTGGGATTGAAATCCAAAGGAGAGAAAGGAACTGGTAAAAACAGGGCAGGTACATATAAAATCCAAAGTTCTCGTCTTATTCCACAGTGGTCCCTGGAGGGTATAAATGTATTTGAATACTAAAAAACACTCGGCTGTCTATTTTTTAAGTGCTTTGTAAATGGTAAAATGGCATACAAATATACAGTAGGATAGCTGCTTTGGTGTTTGTCCTCTCTATTGACTACAGTATGGTGCACCAGCCTCTGTGGCTTCCACCCACCTTGCTGAGGTGCCACAGGATAGGGTCAGCCACAATGCACCATGTTTTCTTCTACCTCATTCATTCTAATTAAGTTTTTCATGGAAACCAGCCATCTTTTGGAAGGGAGCCTAGTAACTGAGTTGACAGACATAGATATATTGTAAAAGTATGACAGGAATCCTGTTGATATATTGAGGATTTTGGGCTATTTATTAGGTCACATGACAGTTTTCTTCCTCAGTGCTTCTCTAGAGATTTTAATGAATAGAGGTTAGGGCATTTTTCAGCTGAGCCAAGAGACTGGATACGGTAAAACCTTGTTCAATCATTCAGCCTTAGTGTTATTTTCTGGGCAGCCACCTCACTGGAAGGAAGCAGGATACTCAGCAGCTAATGCTCAGCTTCTCAGGATAGGACCATACATGCATATATGGAGGAATTTTGCCAAGGAGCGGCAGGAGATGTACTACTTCACATATAAAAGAAGGACAACAAAGTTGCCTGACAAGGCATGTAGACTGTCAGAGACTGTGAACTCGATGCCTTCAAGGAGTTAGGCCAAACTTCAAGAACATAAATTGACTGACAGAACTAGGATTTAAAAATTGAAGTAACAACTTTTAGCATTAAAATGGGTCTCTTCAATAAATAAATAAATAAAATAAAATGGGTTTCTTCATTTTTATCAGGCAGGGCTCTTGAATAGCTGGAACTGTTCTGTGACTTCAAAAGTGACTAATAATAAAGCATAAAATAACTACTTGGGAGGAACATAGTGGCCTTAAACTTTTCATCTTTTAGCAAGCAAGAATCTGCTAGTAGGTGTCAGCAGTGAATATGAGGAAGAGTAAATTATTTCTGCTGATGCATTGGTTCAATTTAGCATGTACTCATAGTTTGCTGATTGTATGCACTATTGCATCCTTAGGTGGTAGTTAAAACAATCTTTTTTTCTCTTATAGGTTGATGTTCCCCAGCTCTTTAGGAATGAGCAAACTGAAGCGGGAACCAGGCAAAATCCCCAAACACTGCCGTCAGGGACTAGTACTTATGATAATGACCCTTGGCTTAGGGTCCAGGAAGAGACTGAAGTTTATTCTAACCCATGTCTGGAGGAAAACAAACAGAGCATTGTTTATGCCTCTCTGAACCATTCTGTCATTGGAATAAACGCAAGAGAAGCAAGGAATGTAAAAGAAGCACCTACAGAATATGCAGCCATATGTGTGAGGAGTTAAATTCAACCCTGATCTCCAACCAGTGATCACTGAATGATCAGCACGTCGACACCATTATCTGAGCCCAACAGAATGTCAAATAATATTCTTCGACCTGAGAAGTTTCACTTTAAGGAGGCTCATGTTGGTGCTTAGGTCTTAAGGGTCCATAGGACAAATGACCAAAGTTTCTCTCAGAAGTTCTGAGGGAACTTTTTTATATTATAGCCTTGAACAACAACACAAAAACCCTTCCCTCCAAAACTGAGTGATATTATGAGTAGCAGGGTGGTAGAACACTTAAACTTAGCTACATCTTACCCAATGTACAAAGTTAATATATTTTTTGAGGATAAGAGACACATGTAGGCAAGAGAGATTTGTGTCATCTGGATCAGCTCACTACACTCTCTTGACAAAGAATGTCCCAATTTGACTAACTAACCATCAACAAAGTAATGATAGTATGTTTTTGGTCGTTCTTCCATCATGAGAAAATTTCCTCTGTCAATCTCATACTAGGGTTTCTTAAATGTAAAGAAGAAATCATTTCAGACTTGATATAAGAAAAGAATGGAAAGAACAAATTGTGCAATAAAGATGTGGAATACACCAACTAAGGTAGAGTAGATGTTCCCCTTCCCTGACAGACAAATGGTTTTACCTACCCTGTTACACTGCTAAGGAAACATAGGTATTAATGGAGTAATTATTGTGTGGTGCATTTATAAACAAGGTTGTGACTCAGTGTTTGGGTCCCTTGGACTAATGTATATAAATGTGATGTAATGCTGCTAAATTAATATACTTGTGGGTGTCTAAATAAACATAAAAATCAGTTAAAGTAAGTATCGTCAGGCAAGTGCAGATAGATAGCTTAGACTGCTTCATGGTTGACCTGATAGCACAATTAATGGAATAGAGAAAAGTCTGGAAAATTTAGTTGGCCAGTACAGGTCACCAGACTTTCATTAAGCACATCTGTATCTTGCTGCTCTTCTTACTAAAGAGTCAGGGAAAATCATACATAGCGAAGTGGTATAGCTTCATAACAATTCATTTTAAAATACTGTAGTTGCAGCCACTTGAGTACATCAAGAAGAGGTGGTTTTAAATTTTCTGAATTTCCAGAGTACTTGAGTCTAATTATTTCATAAATAGCCTACAACTTTATTCAACAACTTGAGGCTATTAGGATTCTCAGGTGCTGCTACTACATAAGGCAGTAGACCTCGTACAAAGTGGGCAGCAAAGGTTGGGATCCATTGGAACAAATATGTGAACTTCTGCACAAATGAATGTGGTGTGTGTGTGTGTGTGCGTGTGTGCGTGTGTGCGTGTATTAGAAAGAAGACTAGGTGACTTACAGAAATGGTAAGAAGAGAAACTGACAAAAGGGACATTCCATATTGGTTTCCTAAAAAGTTCAAGATACTAGAGCAAATGGGTCATTAAAGAAAATATACGAAAATGATGTTTGAAATGATGGGGATAAGAGTATGATATCTCATAAAATTTCTCATGCCGTAAAGATAAAACTGAGATTTTTGTGGTGGGGCTTCTCTTCCGTAACAATAGTGGCATTAAGATTTTGCCCCTTAGATTGGGATTATGGGCATTGGTTTAGAGTCACTGTTATCTATCCAGTATGATAGTGCTGTCCCTGGAATTTTGAGCAACTTGCTCTAGGTGGGCTCTTTCAGCCAAGCTGTATTTTATAGGCAACTACATAAAAAGATATATTAGAATAACTGTTTGCGGTATTCTTAAATATAGAAACAGGAAGTATGGGAGGATACGTTTAGCTGCCCTTATCAGATAAACACACAGCTAAAGAGTTCTTTCATAATTTTCTTAAATTTAAGCAACAAAATATTTCTGTCTATTTTTTAGGATATTCTTAGCATGTCTTATAGTAAAGATAATGTTGGTAACGATTTCATCTCTACAAATGATTTATTCTTACATTTGTACCATGCTGCCACAATTCCAAATCTCTTATGTTTCTATTGCTTCTTAATAAAAGGTGTCAGAATTATATCTGTACTTCTCAAATAAATATATTTCAGTATTACTCACATGGCTTATTTCATTAACAATAGTTATTAAAACTTACTTGGAATCAATTTAGTATTGGTTTTTGTACTAAAAAATGCATGTGGAAAAGTGATTGTCAAGCCTTATGGTGCTTAAAAACAGCCTCAAGAACCTGATAAACTGCAGATGACCAACTCCCAAGCGCTAAGAAATTCTGACTCAGAAGATCCAGACTATGGCTCTACAATCTTCACCCCGGGAAGACACCCTCGATAATTTAATGCAGGTTTCCCAGTATAGAGGCTAGTTTGGCATATGTGGTTGATTTGATTACTTTTGCCTACCAATCAAGACTTTCTAGGCTCCAGAATTAATTCTCTGGCTGGATCCTGTCTGTCTGTCTGTCTGTCTGTCTCTCTATGTGTGTGCATTTTAAGAGCAGTTTTAGGCTCAGTAAAGGTGAGTGGAAAGTACAAAGAATCCCCATGCGTTCCCTGCCCCTATGCATGCACAGCCTCCTCCACCACCAACATCCTGTACCAGAGTGGGACATGGTGTATCTGTTACAATCAAGGAATCAACGTTGACACACCATTATCAACTGAAGCCCATAGTTTACATTAGGGCTTACTCTTGCTATTTTAATTCTATGGGTTTTGACAAATGTATGGTGACATGTGTCCCTTATTATAGTAATGTACAGAATAGTTTCACCTCCCTAAAACTTTTCTGTGCTCTATCCATCCATCCTTCCCTCCCCCCAAACTCCTGGAATCCCCTCACCTTTTCACTGTGTTCAATGTTTTGCCTTTTCCAGAATGTCATATAGTTGGAATCCTATGTAGCCTTTGGCTTCTCTCACTTAATAATATGCATTTAAGGTTCGTCCATGTCTATTTATGTCTTGCTAGCTCATTTCTTTTTAGCACTGAATAACATCTCATTGTCTCGATGTAACACAGTTTATTTGCCCAGTCATCTACTGAAGGACTTCTTGGTTGTTTCCAAAAGTTGGCGCTCATGAATAAAGCTGCTCTAGTCGTCCCTGTGCAGGTTTTGGCATAAACATCAGTTTTCAACTCATTTGAGCAAATACTAAGGAACATGATTGCTGGATCATATGGTAAGAGTATGTTTCCTTTAGTGAGAAACTGTCAAAATGCTTTCCAAAGTGGCTGCACCATTCTGCAGTCCCATTAGCAAAGAGTGAGAGTTCCTGTTGCTCTGCATCCTCGTCAGCATTTGTTATTGTCAGTGTACTAGATTTTGTTCATTAAATAGGTGTGGAGAAATATCTCTTTGTCTTAGCTTGTAATTTCCTATTAACATATGATGTTGATCATCTTTTTATATTCTTACTTGCCATCCATGTATCTTCCTGGTGAGGTATCTATTCAGATCTTTCACCCATTTTTAAAATTGAGTTGCTTGTCTGCTTACTGTTGAGTTTTAAGAGTTGTCTAATTTGGATAGCAATCTTTTGTCAAATACGGTTTTTGCAACTATTTTGTCCCACGTTTGTGGCTTGTCTTTACATTCTCCTAACAAACATACCATGTATAGCAGTTATTTGTTATGTTTGCTGCCATATTAGACTCTGGGCTTCTCACAAGTCAAGATTAGGTTATATTTCTTTTTAGTTTCTTATCCCAGTCCTTGGCACAAAGTAGAATTAAATAATGTTTAAAGGGTGGATGATATTATTTGTGAAGTGTGTCATCTAATCCCTTGCTACTCAAAGGATGGCCTTCAAATTGGTAGCACGGGAACCCCCTGGGAGCTGTCAGAAATGCAGAATTTCAGGGATGCCTGGGTGGCTCAGCGGTTGAGCATCTGCTTTCAGCTCAGGGTGTGATCCCCCATATGGGGATGAGTCCCACATCAGGCTCCCTGCAGAGAGCTTCCTTCTCCCTCTGCCTGTGTCTCTGGGTCTCTCATGAATGAATGAATGAATAAATAAATAAATAAAATTTTAATTTTTTTTTAAAAAGAAAGAAATGCAGAATTTCAGTTTTTATCTACCAAATAAGAAATTGTATTTTTTTTCCACAAGAATGCTCGGATGATTTGTGTTATGATTGGTGTTATTTCCCCACCAGGAGTCAGGTGTGGCAGGAAGCCAAGTTATATTCATGACAGAGTCATTTGGAAAGTTCTATTTTAGGCAGGAACAGGAAGAGCCTCACCACCCAGCCCAGAAAGTAAAAATGGCAGGTGAGAAAGAAAACATTACTACTTTATAGAATATTTGCCCTGAATTTGAGAACACAGGAACTGAAAACACTGTGTTAGAAATCAAGTGACAGGTTCAAAAGCAAGTTCTGGGGATTAATCTTTAAAAATCAGGCCCCATTCTGAAGTTAGTCGGGGTAAACGTTCCATGGGAATCGCTTTATCTGCAATCTATGACCACATACTAAGCACCTACTAGTTTGTTAGGTTCTGAAGTGACATGGTTGAGAAAGATTCCATTACTGCTCATCACTGTTTATAGCACGCTTCTATAGACGAAGAAGTAGAAACTGAACAACAACAAAAAGTAATCTGATAGTTGAGGTGTTCTCAGTCCCCTGTCACTACCGGTCTTTGACCAATTGAAACATACAGAAGTCAGATTGAGAGAAAGGTTAGTATTAATGGTAATGGTACATTGGTGAGCATGGCTTGGGTCCAATGACAGCATAAGTTTCATACCAGTTCCTCCTCTCAAATCTTGCTTGGCTTTGGACTTATATATGCATAGGAAGAGTTAGATTTAAAAAGAAACACCCAACCAGCCATGTGGGAGATGTGTCTGTCTCAAGCCTTCCGAGTTGTAGATGAATGAGAGCCAGGTTGTGATGACAGCCTCCTTAGCCTTTAATGCAAGGGTTCTGTCCCAAAGTTAACTTGGTAAAAAGAGTGAGAGGTTCCGTTCATCTCTCCTCTTTCCATAAGAAGAAGTCTGCAAGGGAGTAGATCAGTGGAAGACCCTATTTCACAAGTTAAAGTAAAATATGAGGCAAGCAAAAGAATGATTCTTTTTTCCCTAATTTTGATAAGTGCCTGCTGGGTATTAAGTTACTAGAGGAAGTGACAGGATATGAGCCAAATTTTAGCTGTAATTGCCATCTAAATAATATATATGTAGTTACAAAGTGCTTTCCTCTATATTATACAAAACATTTTATGTACTGTGAGAGCTCAATTGCAACTATTTTCTCTATACTTCTTGGTTGTCCAAAATGTATGTAACTAACATGCTGATATGGCCATACACTTCACTTTTATTTTAGACAATATCATTATAAACTTACTCAAGTCTT